TATAACAGCTTTACTAGTCCTGTGAGTTTTTCTAGTGAATCACTGAGCCTGAGTGGTTTTGGAGAAGTCCATTGTGAACATGATTCTTAATTAACTCTTCATAATTTTACATAAGCAACTAAAGTGCACAATGAAGAGCAGGTTTGTTCATTTCATTGTAGGGCAATGGTTTTCAAAGTATTGTTTAAGGACACTGAGGTCTCAGAGAAACTTGTCAGGAGTTCACGAGGTCAAAAGTATTTTCATATTAATACCAGGTCTCATTTGCCTTTTCATTGGTGGTGCAAAACACTGATGGATAAAACTGCTGAAACCTTTGCCATGAACAAAGGAAATGGCACCAAGCTATACCAGTATTCTTTACCACCACATGCTGTTGTAAAAATACGCTGGTTTCACTTAAGATTGACCTTAGTGAAACAGTAAAACTTATAGATTAAGTACACATCTCATAATATTTTATGTGAGAAAATGGCAAGTATGCCTAACAGCACTTGTGCCAAATACTGTAGTACAATGGCTATTTGAAGGAAAAGCATTAGTGCAATTGTTTCAGGTGAGAATTGAAGTCGCCATTTTTTTCCCCCATGGATCCATAACCATTTTTACTTGAAAGAATGACTGACAAACCATGGTTAGTCGGACTTGGGTATTTGGCAGACAGTTTTTTAACACAAAGTGAGCCTGTCACTTAAGGAGAACAACTGACAGTATTTATTGCCAATGATAAAATTCAGGCTTTCAAGAAAAATCAGAAATTTGGAAAACTTGTATTGGCCACTGGGAACTTGACAGCTTACCAATAGTTACAGAATCTTCTGATGAGATCAGTGGTAATATCATAAATGTGATTCCTTTTGATATCATATAATGAAATGTGTCAACATTTGGGAAATTTGTATAACTCAGTGAGTAAAGATTTTTGAAATGATAGAAGCATGGTGTTACCAAATCGTGCATGGCTAAAAGATACTTTCAAAGTGCAGAATAGACCAATGGACTTCAGTGTAACAGAGTACAAAAAGTTCGAGGATATGGTTTCAGATTCTGCCTTGCAGTTAACCTTTAGGAAACTTTAGCTTTTCAAGTTGTGGTATAGTCCCAATCCATAGTTAACTGAAAAGGCTATTAAAATTATTTTCCATTTGCCAGCTATGTATTAGTGTGAAGCTGCATTTTCTTCATCTACTTCAACCAAAACAATATGTTGCAACAAATTAAACGCAGAAGTAGATATGAGAACCCACATGTATTTTGGCAGACATTAAAGAGGTTACCAAAAATACCACTCTCCCACTAAAAAGTTTTTGTTTTGTGTAATTGGTTATTTTCCATAAAAATATGTTATTTATGTTATTATATAGGAGGTTTGTATTGTTATTTTGAAATGAATTAATGAGTATTTTTTACAATTCCTAATTTCATTTCTAAAGTGGCAAAATTTGATAGCTATACTTTGTAAAACAAGAGCTCTTTGGAGCTTTCAATAATTTTTGGAAGTATAAGGAAGTTCTGGGACCAAAAAATTTAAGAACCTCTGCTATAGGACCTAAGGGAAGGAGCTGGTCTTTTCATTGGGATGCCCCCAAATGTTATTATTTGTAGGTGCACTTTTCTGAAATTGTTCATTTTCTTCCAGGAAAGAATCCCTCACTTCCATGACTTTGGGCTATATGGTGGAATTTTGGGAGTAAGTCAGAGGAAGGGGCTTACAAACCCTTCAGTTCACCATGGAGACTTTGAGTTTTTCCTAGTTTTCTTCCTGTGCCACATTCCTCCCCTCCATTCTCCTTGATGGCCATGACTGTGAGGACTTCCTGACAGTTATGTCTCCAGAGAATAATCAGTGCCCTCCTGTAAGGTTGGGAGAGGGATGCTAAGTAGATGCAGCAGCTAACTTTTTGTTAGTATCCCCCTCCTCCCCTCTTCTGTTACAGCAATCCTCACTGTTCCGTCTACTTTATTCTTCTAAAACATTGTACTTTCTTGGACTGTGTTGATTACTGCCTTGGTATCTTATTAGGCTGAATAATTGCTCCCTGAAAAGACATCTATGTCCTGGGGCACCTGGGTGACTCAGTCGGTTGAGCAACCGACTCCTGATTTTGGCTCAGGTCATGATCTCCCGGTTTGTGGGTTCGAGCCCTGCATCTCTCTCCCTCTCTGCCCCTCCCTGCATCCCCTCAAAATAAATAAACAAACCTGAAAATAAAAAATACATCCATGTCCTAATCTCTGGAAACTTTGAGTGTTCCTTTATGTGGCAAAGACTTGGCAGGTGTGATTGAATTAGAGCTCTTGAAATGGGATATTATCCTGGATATCCAGATGGGCCCTAGTTGCAATCACAAGTACCCTTATAAGAGGGAGACAGAGGGAGATTTGTTACAGACAGAAGAAGAGAAGGAAATGTGACCACAGAGGCAGAGATAAGTGATGCAGTCATGCAGTCATAAGGCAAGGGATGCTAATGGCCACCAGAAGCTGGAGGAGGCAAGGAACAGCTTTTCCTCCAGAGCCTGCAGAGGCTCTGCTGACATCTTGATTTCTGCCCAGTGATATTGCTTTTAGATTTCTAGCCTCTAGAATTGCGAGGAAACTAGTTTCTTCTGTTTTAGGTCACCAAGTTTATGGTACTTTGTTATAGCAGCTTCAAGAAACTAATACAAGGCATAGGTTTTTTCTCATACCTCCATGTCATCTTAGTGGGGTGTTGAAGGGTAGGCTAGGTAAATGCATGTGGTCTGTATACACCAGGAATAACCAGAAGCTTCTCAGTGTGTTTCTAACTGCTGTGAAGATGAGGAAAGGAGGGGAGAGTGGACATTTTGCCAGAATAGAAACTTTCCTGATGCTTTGGAGTGACTCACATGTCTCCGTGGGAGGGGTGGGGGGTGCTAGATTTCAGTCCCTTCATTTTTGGATTTGCAAGGAAGGAAGCATGCCCAAATGGCTGTCACTTATCTGGAATTTTTAGAAGTAGCCAACAAAAAGCATGAATTCTTGATCCAGTCCTAGCACTTGGATGAGTTGGGGATCAGGGGTAGGGAGGATGAGTTATAGTGCCCTTGTTACATTACTGTTCTGGTGAGGGAACTTTTACAACTCTCCATTTGAGCCCTGTAATTTCTTTCTACGTTACTGTCTTTGTGAGCCTTCATGAAGTCTAAATAAAGGAAGAGGGATTGCTGCTTCCCCACCTTCTTTTGCATGTTTAATGCTAATGATGCTTCCCACTTATGTTGTCTGCTTATGAGCCAAAGAATACAGAGAGCTGAGAGAGGGAGCATGGGTTAGAACTGGAGCATCTCAAGGGCAGCAGAGATGAAATGATGGAAGGTGTGTCTTCCTTTCACATTTAACAAATATTTAGGTAGTCTCACAAAGAGTAAAACTCAGTACCAGAGCCTCTTTTGGGGGAAAGGGTAACCTTCACCTGGTCCCAGCTCTTCTAAGAGTAATCATGATAGACAAGAAATTATCATGCAGTAGTAAAGTATGTTTCTGAAGGAGTTATTTCCAAATTTCTTGAAATCCTGGAAATTATAAGAATTAAGGCTAAAAGTTTAACATCTAGAATTTGCAACATTAAAATCTGTAAAAAGGCTATTATTCAGATTCTCTTGATACATTATTAAAGAAATAAATCTCAGAATTTATAACAAAATTGGGACTCAGATGTTTTGTGCAAATTTGATTTTTCTTTTCTTGGCGATGTATGTATAGGCCTTTAAAAATAATAATGGATAAGAGATGACACATAAAACCTAAATTGACAGGGTAAGCCAAACAAATAAAATTATATTAGACAGAAGCAAGAAGATGACCATTTTAGGCAGCATGCCCACTGGGCTGTAATTAGGTCTAATGCTGGTGTTTCTGGTACTTCATATGCTGCTAGTGGCCAGTGAAAGTTTAAAACACAATCAGAAACATATTCTGCAGTAATAAATTTTACTCTTGCGGCACAGAGACATGAATATACAAATTACTGACCACTGATTCAAAAAACCACTTCTCCCCAAACAAATGACTCTCCTTAACCAGTATATTCCAGTATCTTGCGACACTGAAAGAAGTCCCTAATATCAAGAACTGTATTTGTCGAAAATTTACTGAATGGTGGATAAGCTGATTATTGCTCATGATAAAAGTGGGAAAGAAAGGTTGGAAAATACAGGGTGTGGGGAATCATAGGTGAAAAAGATGTGTGAGTAATAATGAGGGCTTAAGTTAATAGATGGCTAGAGTACTACATCTTGTCCTTAGAGAATTCACCGTTCCTTCCCTCCACTGCCTGCCTTGTTCAGAAAGATCTTAAGTTTACAGATATTTGCTATTGTGTGTGTGCTCATACGCATGTATGTGTATGTAGGAGAGAGTGGTGGAGAATGCAAGATAATATGATTTTGAAGAAAAACAGACAAAAGCAACACAAAGACATGGATATTAAAATAGAGCAAGAAATAACATTAATTTTTAAAAATGCCAACCACAAAGACCCACCAAGGGTCTCAAGTTTGTGTCTCATGTTTTAGAAGTTATTCAGAAAAGAAATATATGGATGGATAAAGTGGTACATATTATATAATATATTTTTGGCACTGAAGCTACAGAAGTGTCACTGAGGCTGGAGACAGGCAGGTATTTCCTGGAGCCTTAATGTAAATGACATGGTATGATGTAATGAATGATATTCTCAGCAGAGTTCTCCTATGGTGTCGTGATACATCTCTGAGGGTTGTTGATTATCTAGGCTTCAGTGTAGATCAGTGGTGTCGCACCAACAGCAATTCAGCAAAATCATTCCTACCAGGGGCCATTACACTACAAACCATGTACACGGGCTGTGTATACAGCTGGAGGGAAGAACCAGAATTTGCTTCTGAAGCAAAAGTATTCTAGAAAGGAATCAGTAGAGCTTGCACTGCCTTTGTGGACCTTTGTGTTTCTTCAGTGTTTGAGAGTCAATAGATGACTAATTGTATTTTCTCATACAGAAAAGGAGATGACTTTCTGCATAAAAGCAAGAAAATGGAAAAGACTGAGGCTCATTATATACCTGTAAGCAACCTATCATCTACTTTCTTTATTAGTCGTATAGTCCCAGATGTAGACCTAGAATAGTTCTTTTTCTTCTGGATGAGTGGGTAAATTATACAACCACAGGCTTAATGAGTATGGATAAAATACAAATACTTCCAAGACAATTCTCCCTGGGATCTATCCCCAGCCATCCGCAATGCACAACTCCGGAGGGTACCATTTAAATGGGATTTTATGTGACTGTCCAAGGGTGCCTGGAACTGTGTTCCCTGAAGCCCTAGGAAGACCTTTTGCCAAATAGCTGGCGTAAGGGTTAAAGTTTTCCCCCATTTCAAGCAGGGTAGAGTGCACACTGATGTTGGAAGAGGGATGATGATGCTCGCCCAAGTCAGCTGAGTCGTTTGTCGAGAAAATGGACCGAATTTCCATGAGGTGGTAGTGGAGTTGCAACAGCAACACAGACTAGGGGCTGGCCCAGTTGCCACAGGCTCTGTTGCACTGGTGGTTGTTAGACCTGCCCATAAATATAATTTCCAAAAAGTTAAAAGCATAACTCATACAAATCTAAATAGCTATCAATGATTTTACTCAACTCCTCAATTAATGAGGGAACCAGTAAGATGGAAAGCTGACTGCAAGAGAATTTTGAGAAACTGGGCGATTATAGGAAATTTAGTAAGAGAATGTTAGAATGAGGTTGTTAAGTTAGATTGGAAACTGGTTAATGGCCTCACATGCAATAAACTGTAACATAGGGGGTTATTGATTGGATAGAAATCATTTGGATAAAATTTCTTAATATTCCTTTTATAGGATCAATTGGCTGCACTCCTGACTCTTATCAAGAGATGCTAGGGGAGCCTGGGTGGCTCAGTCAGGCTTCCAACTTTCGCTCAGGTCATGATCTCACAGTCCGTGAGTTCGAGCCCCGCGTCGGGCTCTGTGCTGACAGCTCGGAGCCTGGAGCCTGCTCCGGATTCTGTGTCTCCATCTCTCTCTGACCCTCCCCTGCTCATGCTCTGTCTCTCTCTGTCTCAAAAATAAATAAAAATTAAAAAAAAAAAAAAGAGAGAGATGCTAGGCATCCTAATCACAGTAGAGCTCATTTAGCATTGGGATGCTGTTGGGTTTTTCATATTAGTTTTTATTAATTTTATCCTGAATGTGTACACAAAGTCTTCTAGGTAGGAGAGAGATTTTAAAAGTGTGTCAGCTCCTCATGCCCCAGAACTCATCTCTGGGCAATGTGATAAAAGGCCAAATAATCCTACTTGAGTGGCTGGACACTTCATAGGTGAGAGATGAGGAAAATTATTTTTCTCTGCTTCTAATGGGGAAGGAGGCAGCTGTTCCCCTCCCTTCCTGTCTCCTTGGAAACATAATGGGCCTGAATCCTCGCTCCAGCCCTTTGGTTTATAAATAAAATCCCTCCAGGAGCCAGAATGCCCTGTGTGTCTTGGCTTTTACCACCAAGAGATGTCTGCAAGTTCTGGGGCTCCTTCCTCCCTGAAATGTAAATACCTAGGGAGATAACACTCCAGTCTAGGCTGTAACCATTTGGGGTCTTTCTGGATCGGAGCAATTAACTCCATCAGTAGGGAAACAAATGGTTGCAGATCTAATCCTTATGGTATGTGAAACATGTTTCTAGGAGAAAGGAAAGCAAATATTTTTTCCTAAGGTTTTTCTGTCTTTATATTGTACACATTCTTGTGTCTCAGGGAGCTACGACTTTTTGCAGGAACAAATACTGTAGGCCCGTTGTTCTTAAAATGCGGTCTCTAGACCAGCAGCATCAGCATCACTGGGAAATTTTTAGAAATGCAAACTTTCAGGCATTATATTACACCAGACATACTGAATTAGAAACTCTGAGGTGGGTCCAGCAAGCTGTTTAATGAGCCCCCCAGGTGATTCTGGTACAGGTTACACTTTGAGAACCACTGCTGTGTGCCATGTGCTCATGAGCTAGTCCCAATATTCTTCTTCATTTCCTGCTGCTGTCTCTTTCCCACCTACCCTGCATTGGCAATTCTGTATCAGTGAACAAAGTCTGTCTGCTGCCATGATAAGTCTACCCTCATTCTAGTGGGTTTGGTAGTAACACGAGGAGTAAATTTACAGTTAGGAAGCATTTTAGTAGAAGGAGAAGGTTATGAGATTCCTGTTTCTGAAGGGGCTTAAAAATTAGATGAACAACCACCTAGTTTGAACAATTTAACTGTGGACACCTGAACAGCGGTGGGCTCGCCTAAAAGACTGTAAACATTTTTAGTTTCCTCAAGGCAAACACTGTCTGGGAGCCTAAATGCTAAAACAGTTTCCTGACTGAAGAGCAACTGAGCAGACCAGTCCTTGTAGATCAACCATGCAGAAAGCACACTCAGTCTGCTCTATTTTAGATTGCATCACTACATTTAGGAAACAATAATGACTACTTTTAAATGCTTCATTGATATTTTGTGCTTTTAATTGGTTGGAATTCTAGTGTCATCAATCTCTCTAGATACTAGAATTTTTAAAGGTGTTCAGTGGTGTCTACCAGTTGACTTCTCATACCTTCACGGGGGGGGGGGGGGACATCAGAAATTCCTTTATCTGCAAATCATGTATTCTTTTACACAAAAGGGGGCTCAACCGGAACATTGAGAACTCTGATAGCAGAGAAACCACTCCTTTGCTCAGGCAATCTTTCCTTCTGGAAAATTAGTTAATGACATCAGAATATATAAAATTTCATCTCTAAAGTCCCCAAATTATCTCTTGAAATTCCCTTGCAGCTTTATGAATCTAAGCAAACGGAACATGTGGGATCAATTGCAAACATTTCCAAAATTCTTGTTATATTTCCATGAACATAAATCTGATTTGCTTGGCTTTGTGACAAGGATCATAAGAATTAATCCACAACAGAGAAGAAACACATAGTAAGGAAAATACAATTACCAGCATGTGTGTTTCTGCGCAGCAGCATTCATGTTGACCCAAGAGCAAATGTGACATAAGAAAAATGTGATAAGGGAAAAAAGAGGCCTAAATTTAGATAATGCAATGTCACTTAAGATCAAAGAGGGAGTAGTCCAGTATAAATGCCAACACATGCACCATAAAGGCTTCAGAAATAGAGCATGTTTCCTTGTTACTTGTGATGCACGAGTATCACCCACTTCCATAAGTGGGATTGTTTTTACGGATTGCTGAACCGTTCGTTGCAGTACCACACTCTTTGTTGCTTCTGAGATTGGTTTGAAAGGAGCAGTCATTACTTTAAAAATTGCCCGTGTTTATTCAGGTTTCTGTGGCCATTTTGTTGAAGCTTTCAAAAGATGTTCCAAATATGAATATCCAAATCTGTGCAGAGTACACTCATCTATTTTTTTTTTTCCTTTCCTTTTGAGGGCTTGCTCTTGGGAGGAAAAACAGCTGGAACTTCCCTAGAAAGGGAACTTCTCTATATGATGACTCAGTCAGTTCTCATTCTCCTTCTACTCACTTTGCTGGTGTCTGTTTTTCTTTGGCTTTGAGACTGACTGTTCAACACACCAAATCATGGAAAGTCACTTTAGCTCTTTAGTTTAGGGGGGATTTTTGGGTTGGCTAGATGGGCCCGTAGACATTCTTTACCAAATTCTCTGCTGGGGAGAGACGGTCTGCCCATACCTCCTTCAGGTCAATTAAAAACACTTTTGTGTAACATGACCCTACTGGGTTGGGTATGCTGACTGTGGCCTGGTGCTTTGCCTAAATGCAAGCCCATCCACACTGTCTCCAAAAGGAAAATCATAGCAAGGGTTGGCAGCCATTTAGATCATGGACTTGTAACCACCGTGATGTGATATTCCCTTCACTCACTCCAGCCCCGCCCACATCTGCTCTGAGGGTCTGGTGTTCTTCCTTGAAGATTTTCCTTTTTCACCAATGATGTTGGTACACAAACTCTGTGTGTGTGTGTGTGTGTGTGTGTGTGTGTGTGTGTGTGTGTCCTTTTTCCATGATTCTGGCTGAGGATTCAGATGCAACCTTTCTAGTACTCCTTTGCTTTCTGGACCCAAAACAGAACACAGGATCTATGATTTTTAATGGTTTAAAAACTAATCATCATGAGGGGAAAATAAACAGGATAATAACATGAGCAAACTCCAAGAAGGAAAAAGTGGTTTGGAAATCTGTCAAAAGACCTTAAGGCCTTTATCATCCTCCATTTTTCTTATCGCCTTCCTTGAAGACCAGTTCCGTAGCAGCAGAAGTATGTCTTTGTGTCTTATGAGCTAAGGACCCAAAAAACAAGTCCTGATACAGCAAAGGAATGAAAGTTGTTGGCTACAGAATACATTTTACTAAAAACATGCTCAGCCAAAGGGTGGAGGAGACATGGATTTGGTTATACAATTGATTTCTAAAAATTAACTTAAGTCTCTGTAGTAGGGTTTCTTAATTAAAGCAGAGCCTAGAAAATAGAAAGCAAATTCCATTTTTTTACTGAAACAGAGCAGAATGTAACCTTGCCTTGCAGCTAAAAATAAAGGGCTGAGGTGATTCCTGAGGGTGTCTTTGTAGATTCAGTACCATCATAACTAAGATTTACAAATACCACATTCTATACTGCTTCAAGAAAACCAGGGTGATCATCTTCCTGTCTGCTCCATTGTCCTTTTGACTTGTGTAATTTGTATACTTGTGTGCTATAACTATTTATCCTTCCTTTCCACCTAGCACAGTTTCCATGACTTCTGGAAATATGTTTCTCTGTGATTGCCTGGCATTCAGTGATATGTCCCAGACCTTATATTGTGCTCTTCCTTAGGAAAGAAACTAATGCTAACTATAAAGTTAACTATAGCACAGTAAACCATCCACACTTTATGGCTCTAAGTTTTTATTCTTGGCAGTAGAAATATGCTTGGTAGTTAATTTTACATCAGGCTGCAACCCAAGAGTTTGTGTCTGACAGCTTTAAATAGAGAAAATGAGTATTTTTAAAACAACCCAGCAACTATTGGTATGAATCAAGTAATTTTGGGCTACAAATGGATAGTGAGTAAAATCTACTCTATTCTGCAATTTTGTTGCAACTACCTGCTCCTGTCATGAAAGGAAAAGTGGGCATTAAATTTAGAACACACACTTTTTTCGCTGTGAGGGTGCCTTTAAGACCTTGTCCTCACCTACACTGAAGCAGGTGAGAGGAGAGTTCTTGAACTGAGCTTCTCTTTGGCTTCCTGAGTACCAGGCTGCCCGGGATGGTGAAGCAGGAGGAAGCAGGAAAGACCCGAATTTGACTTCTTGTCTTAGGCCTAACACTAGAACCTACCTCACAGGGTACCCGTTAAGATTAAATGAGAAATGCATATAAAATTCTTAGCACAGAGCTGGCACATCCCACTCAGCAAATGTTCTACCCATCATTATTATTGGCTGTGTCCTCAGACAATTTCCATAAACTTTCTGAGTCTCAGTTTCCTCATCTGCAAGATTCAGAATGTATGAATCCTTACTTTATCATTGTTGGGTTGTAAAGACAAGGATATACACTGAGGGTACAGAGTCAGTCCTCACTATCTGTTGGTTCCCTCTCCTGAGGAATTCCAAAGAATGTAGCTTTTCTGTGCTGGACCTAGAAATGTTACTATGTAAGTATTTCATTGGTAGGATGCCAGCAGGAAGCAACTTTGTTTCATTATTTATTTTTACTTTGTCCTTGAGCCTTTTCTGTCTGATGTCCCTTCTCCACTCCAGGAAGCTATCTTGGGCAGATCTCATAGACTTCCAGGCATTTTCAGGAATTAGAGACAGTCTCAAGTTCAGATGTTAGAAAGTTCTTTCTTGTTTAAATCCTTTGTCTCTTATCCAATTAAAAACTTCCCAGGCTTGGAAACCCATAGTGGGCATGGGGACCACAGTTTGCCTGTTGATTACCCCTCCTGGGATTTTCACCTCTTCATCCCTATCCTTGAAGTTGTTTGCCCTCTTCCCACCCTCACCCTGGAAGAACCACAGAGGGGGCAGGGGGCATTGGAGTATAAACTGGCCAAGCTGGTGGTATCCCTGAATAGTGGTTGCCTAAATATTCTTTCTTCCTCTCACAGGGCACTCTAGTGTGTTCTTGGGCAGCTTTACTGTAGGGAACCTTCCATCTGCATTTCCTCGGTGCAGGTGATGTTTGCCTTACTGATGCTTTCTGATTGCTTCCAGGTCCAGCCTCTGGTGGTGCACTGCACCCTCCTTCTCGGGGAGCCAGTTCCCTGTGGATCATGTTCTTTCCTGCCATTGGTGGGTGTGTGCCTTCTCCACCAGGGCTCCCCTCACCCTCCATCAGGGCCAGCTGATGCAAGCCAAGCTCTGTGACCTCCTATTCCTGGGGGAGATGATCAGTTTCTCCCAAGATCTCCCTCCCCCATGCTCTGCTGCAGGCTTATGCTGGAGCCTGTGAGGCCTCTTGACTTAGCACTGGTGCCCTGTCTCCTTGTCCTCATCTTCTGTCATAGATACGTGAGGGTGGTCGTGGGTGGGTGTTTGATGGGTATAGAGCCAGTGTGATGGTGAATTCAGTGTAAATGGTCTCACAGCTCAGCTTTGGTATATGAACTCTTAATACCCACTGTCTTTAGCTTTGGGCCTAAGCTGAGACTTGTAAGCAACAGGGACAGATGCACTTAAAATCTGGTTACATTAAGAACAAACAAACAACAGCAACAGCAGACTGTAAACATAAAGAACACACTAGTGGTTGCCAGAAGGCAGGAAGGTGGGGATAGGCAAAATAGATGAAGGGGATTAAGAGGTACAAAGTTCCAGTTATGAAATAAATAAGTCATAGGGATGAAAAGTACAGCATAGGGAATACAGTTAATAATATAACTGTGTATGATGACACATGGTAGCTATACTTATTGCGGTGAACATTTCATAATGTATATAATTGTCAAATCATTATGTTGTATACCTAATACTAATATAATATTATTTGTCAACTATATTTTAATTAAAAATTTAAAAAATGAGGGACGCCTGGGTGGTGCAGTCAGTTGAGTGTCCGACTTCAGCTCAGGTCACGATCTCACGGTTCGTGAGTTTGAGCCCTGCGTCGGGCTCTGTGCTGACAGCTCAGAGCCTGGAGCCTGCTTAGGATTCTGTGTCTCCCTCTCTCTCTGCCCCTCCCCCACCCACGCACTGTCTCTCTCTTTCAAATATAAATAAATATTTAAAAAGTTAAAAAAATTAAAAAAAAATTTTTTTAACGTTTATTTATTTTTGGGACAGAGAGAGACAGAGCATGAACGGTGGAGGGGCAGAAAGAGAGGGAGACACAGAATCAGAAGCAGGCTCCAGGCTCTGAGCCGTCAGCCCAGAGCCCAACGCGGGGCTCGAACTCACGAACCGTGAGATCGTGACCTGAGCTGAAGTCTGACGCTTAACCGACTGAGCCACCCAGGCGCCCCTAAAAAATTTTTTTAAATGAAAAAGAACAACCTCAGTTTTGTTCCATTTATTTTCAGAGGGAATAAAAACCCTATCTACACATTACAATTTACACATTAAGACATAAATAAGAAAGTGATTATTCGAGTTACAAAAGCACACATCTTAAATTCTTTATAAATGCTAGTTATTAATTGTTTGTTTAAATATCATTAATTATTTTACAGAGGCTAGAGAAATCACTAAATTAAAATTTTTTTTGAGGAGCCATGCCTAAGGAGATAAATAAGAAACTTAAAAATTTCTGGAGTAGAAGGGACACATAAGTCAGTAGGGATACAATGCAATTCTTTTAAAAGGCCCATATTTTCAGAAAAACCCTATATATCTTATACAGGTAGACTGGTATAATTTTTCTCCCAGGCATCATAAATGGTTAAACAAAAACCCCCACTGAACTGTACAATCTTACCTTGCCTTGCCTTACCATGCAACCTACTGTAGCCATTCATCCACTGTGCATGACATCATCACCCTTTCAAAATTCCTGCTGTAACACTTACTACTTTCTGATTTATCTGCCCATCCCTAGCCCCAATAAACTGGAAGTTTTTGTTTGATAGGGTTTTGCCAAAGCCTAGAATAGTGATTGGCTCACTATTCTAGTTCAGTGAATATTTGTTAGATGAACAAATATCTAACTCTTATCCTCGTTAGACTTTTGTTGATGTATCTTCAAACCTTTATTGAGTTATTACCATGTATTTGGCATTGTGCTACATGCTGAAATTTTAAGACAAATAAGTCACACTCCCTGCATGGAAGGAGTTAAATATTTAAACAAATAATTACAATATGTTGGGATATATAATTTTGGGAAGGTCATTTTGCCTCTCTGGGCTTTAGTTTTCTCTTGTATAAAATAAAAGTATCAAACCAGATGATCTTAATAGCTGTTTTCATCTTATGAAATATGTGTTGTGTTCATGATATATGTGCACAAATATTTCTTATTCATTATTTCTCCACTGGAAGAAATGAGTGCCAGGAACCGGGAATAGGCTGTTATTGGTTTGTGATCAGTAAATAACGTGGGCCCTAAGGGTGTGGCATTGCCATATTGCAGACATTTCAGAAAAAGACCAGTCTCTTGTTTTGGTCCCGATGTAATCCCATCCAGGTGTAAGCCAAAAGGAAAAAACCTCCATGATAAGTGCAATACAATAATAAATCCAAATAAGTATAGGAAAAGAAACTGAAGTTTATTAAAAAAATTTTTTTCAAGTAAACTCTACACAACATGTGGGGCTCAAACTCATGATCCCGAGATGAAGGGTTGTTGCGTGCTCCACCGATTGAACCAGCCAGGAACCCTGAAACTGAAGTTTATTGGGCAACATTTAAGTGGAAATTCTTGTTTGTCTTTTAAATATACAAGAAATACATAATCCAGTCAACATAAAAAGTATAGACCAAAAAGCAAAAGAAGACCGTTTTTTCTTTTGACTTTCGAATAGCATTTAATGGATGAAGTAGCACATTTGTTTTCTATGCTGCAAAACAATATTACCACAAGCTTAATGGCTTAAATCAACACACATCTATTTCCTCTGGGTTTCTGTGGGTCAGCAGCCCAGGCGTGGCTTAGCAGGACTGCTGCTCTGTCTCTCACAAGAATGAAATCAAGATGTGAGCTGAGACAGCAGGTATACACCAACACACAACTGATTCAGGCTTTCATGGAGCTGTAACCCTAGTGACGATAAATACATGATATACTGTCGGGGGGGGGGGGGGCCAGAGACCGGTCCCACCAGTGAGGATGCTGGTGGCTGTGGATGTTCACGTAGAGTACAGGGCCACAGAGGACATGAAGGGTATCTGAGCTGGAACTAGGCCAGGCTCCATCTTGTCCTCTCTACATCTCTTCCCCCTCCCCTTCCTCCTTCCCCCCTCCTCCCCCTCTGCCTCCCCTTCACGTCCCCCTTTCACTTCCTCTCCACTCCCCTCCTCCTCCTTTTGCAAAAAGCCTTCTTCACTACCATCTCCTATTTCCTGTCCGAAGCTGAGGGTTTGCTGTGTAGCCTTCCAGATGTTATCTCTGTGTACATATATGTGTATGTGAAAATATGTAGGATTCTTTTGGGGGTTTTATATTGCAAATGTTTTCTGATTTTTGCTTTTTTCCTCACATAAAACATATTTTGGGAATCCACATAGGTAAATAGATCTGCCTCATTCTTGTTATCTATTGTATTATACTCACAAAGTAGTTGTATAGCTCATCATTTTGCTATTAAGGGATATTTAGGTTATTTGCTATTGTTCACTTTTTCAAACAGTGTTTCGGTGATCTTTATACATGCATCTTGTGCCTATTGCTGAAGAATGGACACCTTGAAGTGATACTTCATTTGAAGTGGTCAAATGGTAGGTACCTTTAAAATTTTAGAAGATACTGTCTTATGACCCTCCAAAAAGGCTACAGTAATTTGCATCTCCACTACTGGATCTAACAGTACCCATTTGCTCACAGTCCTGCCAACACTCAATATTATCAATCTTTTAAATTTGGGGATTAAATTTTAAAATATTTTAAATTTTTGTTCTAATTTGTGTTTAGTTTGGAGTCTTCTGATACTTGTCAAAGTTAAACATCTTTCCATGTATTTATTGGCTATCTATATAATTATATAGATAATTCACTGAATTCTTTCATTTATCATTTCTTTTTTTTCTATTGGTCTGGCTGTGTTTTTCTTAATGAATTTTAGAAATTCTTAATATTCTCTTGCTATCAATTCTTTGCATATTATATATGTTGGAAATATTTCCTTTCCACTTTGTTGTTTATTTTGAATTTCAAACATATTACTTGCTACTCAAAAGTGATGAGGTGGTAGGGAAGAGTGGCCAAAATGGTCTTGCTATTTAGTATGACAAGATATTCTGAGCTCATCTTGTATATTTTTTCCCCTGGACCCAACAGAATCAACCATTTTTCTAATGCAATCTTATAAATAACAAAACTGATGCTTCTTTGTAGCTCATTGTAGCTTTTTGTATTTTTTTCTTTTCAAATCATTTTCTAGTAAAACTGAGAAAACCACATAAAATAAATACAATTCATGAATTGCATAGGCACCTTTGTAACCATCATGCCAGGTCAAGAAATGAAACATGTGTCTCCCATATGCTTGGACCCTGTCACAATCACCTCTTTCCAACAACAAAAAAGACATTATACTGACATTACCACCTTGTTGAATTTTAAAGAACAGTGTGTCACTGGGGTGCTTGGGTGGCTCAGTTGGTTGAATGTCCAACTTCGGCTCAGGTCATGATCCTGCGGTTCGTGAGTTCAAGCCCTGCATTGGGCTCTGTGCTGACAGCTTGGAGCCTGGAGCCTGCTTTGGAATCTGTGACTCTCTCTTTTCTCTGCCCCTCTTCCATTCATGCTATGTCTTTTTCTGTCTTTCAAAAAATAAATAAGTGTTAAAAATTTTTTTTAAAGTGTATCACTACTGTACATTTTTCCAGACATTATAATTTAGTCATGCCCACTTTTTAAGAAATTGGATGTGCCATTCAAATTTTTTAATCCACAAATTCCATCTTCAGTTTTTTTCTGTTTTCTTACAACTTCATTTGTGGAAAGACCAGAATTGTTTGACTTGTAGAGTTTCCCACAGTCTGGATGCTGCTGATTGCACACTCATGGTGCATTTAAACACATTTTTCTATCTATGTGTTTCCTGCAAAATGACAGTTGGATCCAGAGCTTAGAAATCTGGAACTGGTCAGAAATCTGGTTTAATCCGCTTGATAGGGGCTGAATTCTGTCACTAGGAGGCTTGTAATATTTGGATGTCTCTTTTTTCTGATGGTAATAGCCACTGGTCCTTATGCCTAGATCCATTAATAAATTGGAGGTTGCCAAATGATAATATTCAATGTTATTATTTACCTTCCATAATAAATACTGTTGAAATACTGTTATAAATACTGCTTCTCTTCATTTACTATTTGGTTATCTAGTGATGTATGTTGTACAGTGAAGAGGTCCTTAATATTTGATTCTTTCCATTTCTTTAACATTTTTCCAGATAAAGATTTTACCCTCTAGCATCTTCCAAAGGTATCCAATTAATTTTTAATATTATTATGAGCTAATGAATTTAAACATTTTTGATGGGTTTCAATCTATTGTAATTATTCTCCTTATGAAGTTCAAATTTTCCTAATTGTGGCTGGTGAGAGCCTCTACAAACTGTCTTTGGTATCCTTTGATATGACCCTGGTCTTAGATCACATCCTTGTTATTTGGTATGGGCATTAATTTTCCAAGGCTGCTATAACAGTTACTACAAACTTGATGGTTTAAAACAACACATGATTGTTTTTTTATAACCTCATAGGTCAGAGGTCTGAAATTTTTTTCCTGGACCAAAATCAAGGTGTCAGCAGGGCAATTCTCCTTCCAGTAGCTCTTTTGGAAAACCACGTTTCTGGCCTTTTCCAGCTTCTAGAGGAATTCTTGTATTCCATGGCTTATGTCCCCTTCTGCCATCTTCAAAACCAGCAGCATTTCATCTTGCTTCAGTTTGCACCTTGCCTTTTCTCTTCTGCATCCAATTTCCCTCTTAAAAGGCCCTCATAGATAAACCAGGATAATCTCCCCATCTCAAACATTTTAACTTAATCCCACCTGTAAAGTCCCTTTTGCTACATGAGGTAACATTCACGGGTCCCAGGGATTAAGACTAGGTATTTTGTTTTTAACTTTTTGAGGAACTTCCATACTGTTTTCCACAGTGACTGCACCACTTTGCATTCCCACCAACAATGCAAGTGGGTTCCTTTTTCTCTTTATCCTTGCCAACACTTGTTTCTTGTGTTTTTGATTTTAGCCATTCTGACAGGTATGACATGATATCTCATTGTGGTTTTGATTTGCATATCTCTGATGATGAGTGATGTTGAGAATCTTGTCATGGGTCTGTTGGCCATCTGGAAGTCTTCTTTGGAGAAATGTCTGCTCATGCCTTCTGCCCATTTTTCCCTTGGATTATTTATTTTTTGGGTGTTGAGTTGTATATGTTTTTCCTATATTTTGGATACTAACCCTTTATTAGATATGTCATTTGCAGATATCTTCTGCCATTCAATAGGTTGTCTTTTTGTTGATTGTTTCCTTTGCTGTAGAAAAGCTTTTTATTTTGATGTCGTCCCAATAGTTTATTTTTGTTTTTATTTCCCTTGCTTCAGGAGACATATCTAGAAAAATGTTGCTTCAGACAGCATCAGAGAAATTACTTCTAGGATTAAAAAAAATTTTTTTTTAATTTTATTTACTCCTGAGAGAGAGACAGGGGGTAAGTGGGAAAGGAGCAGAGAGAAGGAGACACAGAATCTGAAGCAGGCTCTAGGCTCTGAGCTGTCAGCACAGAGCCCGACGTGGGGCTCAAACACATCAACTGCGAGATCATGACCTGAGCCGAAGTCAGATACTTACTGACTGAGCCACCCAGGCACCCCGACTTCTAGGATTTTTATGGTTTCAGGTCTCACATTTAGGTCTTTGATCTGTTTTGAGTTTATTTTTGTGTTTGGTGTAAGAAACATGCCTTCTACATGTCGCTGTCCAGTTTCCCAACACCATTCGTTGAAGAGACTGTCTTTTTCCCATTGCATGTTCTTTTGTCATGAGTTTGTTTCAGGGGTTTCTATCCTATTCCATTGATCAATGTGTCTATTTTTATGCTAGTACCATACTGTTTTGATTACAGTTTTGTAGTATAACTTGAAATCCGGAATTGGGATACCTCCAGCTTTGTTTTCCTTTTTCAAGATTGTTTTGGCTATTCAGGGTCTTTTGTGGTTCCATACAAATTTTAGGATTATTTTTTCTAGTTCTGTGAAGCATACTTATCATGATACGTACTAAGTAATACTATATTGTACACCTGAAGGTAATATAGTACTTTATGTTAACTGTATTGGAATTAAAATTAAAAACTTAAAATGGGGCATCTGCGCAGCTCAGTTGGTTGTGTCTGACTCTTGATTTTGGCTCAGGTCATGATCCCAGGGTCATGGGATCGAGCCCTACATTGGGCTCTACACTGAGCATGGAGCCTGCTTAAGATTTTCTCTTTCTCTCCCTCTGCCCCTCTCCCCAGCTTGTTCTCTCTCTCTCTCTCAAATAAAAAAAAATTCTTAAAAAAATTTAAAAAATAAATTAAAAACTAATAAAAAATACTAGATATTTTGGGGAGCCATTATTCAACCTACTCCAGTATGGCAAGCTATTCCAGGACCAACTATCTAGTACATTTCCTGCCTGGAGATAGAATCACTGTTTCTCCATGTACCTCTAATTTCTTTTAGTAGGAGGTGTTATTTCAGGATCACAATCTGGGACCAGGGTCACTCATTGCTATCAGTTGGTCATTGTTACCAGGACTTTTCAGGGAACAGAATTCATTCTGATATTTTCAATTCAAATTCAAGACTTGATGACTTTTATTTGCCATCTTATAGAATACATCTGAATCTCCTGCCTTCCACACTGAGTTCTTAAGAACTGATTCTCATAGGCACAGATGATGATAAAATTAGAACATCTTCTATACACATTAATTTCAGAATGATGACACTAATACTACCACTACCTCCAATATGATTTCTGTTTCAGCAAATGTTCTCCCCAATCTTCCCCCATTAAAAAAAGTGGTTTTGTTATATCTACGTTGTCAGATCACATAGCCATGGCATACTTTAATTTCTCCTCCTTAATTCTTATTTAGTCATAATCCTACAAGCAAGTATGTATTTAATGCCCACCCACAATCTTTATATAGATGTCTTTCTAGATTTTTCTTTTTTTTTATTTATTTTTTCTTTTTTTTTTTATTTATATATGAAATTTATTGTCAAATTGGTTTCCATA